AAGGGCATAGAAAATGAGTTCAAATGGATGAGGAAGTAATAAGGCGAAGGGTGGACATTAGCATCAGGCATAAAAGTAGGTAAAAATTGCTTCAAATAGAATTTATACTAGTCATGTAATTGAGTTGTGCTTATCTTTCGACTGAAGTTTCTAAGAAAAACTAATTGCTTGAGAGCTTTTATGTCAATTGAGAGACTTGGAGCAGAAGAAATTAAGGGAAAAGTATATTTTACTGTAAATTAAATTTCCTCGTCATAAGTATTCTTAAGTACGGAATCACTCATCGTTTTTTAACTCAACTGTAAAGTGTATGAAGCAGTGTGAGAACTCATGATTCGACTCGACTTTTTGTGGCGCAATAAAAGCTATAAGTTGTTGATTTTAGATCGTGTGGCTTGGTGACGTATAGATCTAATTAGTTGGTAGCTCAAAATTGTGCGATTTAGAGTTCAAGACTCGTTTTGTGAGATATAAGTATCGACCATAAAATAGTTTAATTCCACTATGAGCTTGTTGCTTCCATGCGCTCAGAGCAAAAGTTCCATGCCCGCAACTGCAAAGAAATGCCACTGAGTGATAGAATTCCCTCCCTCAAAAGTAGACATAATTTATGAACCCTCTTTTATCTTTTATACAATAAAGTAAGTCAACATTTTAAATTCGGTACTCAAAAGACAGTTTAAAAAACTCACAGTTTTTAAGTACAGAATTTTTATGCCTTTTTTACCTTTAAAAAACTTTCTTTCCTTTTTACTTACAAGGCCTGAAGCATATGAATTTAGTAAAAGAAAGAAAGCTTTCTTCATTTTAATTGACAGAGGAAGGGCAAGCGAGAAGCAATACTGTCTGCCTTCAAATTGTGAAGACGAAGAAATAAAATTCAAAACTTTTTTTTTCTTCTCCTTTTAACTTTATAACGAGATGCTATCAACAGATATTCGTAAGGCATAGCTTGTAATACATAAAATTTTTTTTTGCTTACTGATTTTTTTATTCAACTCTTTTCTCATGTTGTCATTCAATAAGAAAAATTTCTTCGTATAAAATTATGGAAATTGAAGGTTAGAGCTTTGACTTGTTGAATTCAGAGTTGTGCCTTTTGACATGGGATGTAGAAGTTTTTGAAGGAATAAGATCAATAAATTTGATGAATTGAAATTATTGTGATGGGAAAATAGTGATTAGGGGTTTTTTATAAATGGTGTCAATCATAGGTGTCCCCTGTGGGAGATTTAAGATACATCTCTTCTCCCCTTGTTGAAGTATTTTTAAATCTCAAAGATTTTTGAGAAAAAAAATCAAAAAAAAGTTAAAAAAAACATATTACAAAATTCATCCACAACTCATTTATGATCGACCCCCCCCCCCCCCCCCCCCAAAAAAAAATTCATAATAATTTTTTTACAATTCAGTTCCCTCAAATTAAGCCTGAGCTGGGAAAAATTGAGGTGTTTAATTTTAATGCGCTTCCTTTGCGTATATTTCGTGAATGTAATAAATAATGTAAAATAGCTGTAACATGAACAGTGTCGTATGACAACAAGTTCACAATGTGTCAGAAAATTATGTGAAATGATGTAAAAAAATTCCAACATAATTTATTTTCTTTTACTAATTTTCATCTGTTGCAGAGGATTTTCATTTCTGCATTTAAATTTTACTTCTTTTCGATTATGTATTGTTTTGACATAGGTAATGTGAAGCTGCGGTAGAGTAGCATATAAGGTAGATAGTCATGGGTACTTGAATCTGCTAATCCAATAATAAAGTTTCTATGGTCAAGTTGGTATGCAACCGACCGCAATTTTATAACTATTTCTTATATGAGGATGTGGGTTTGATTCCCACAAAACTTAGATAGGTTATGTATAGCCGTTATATTAATTCATTAAGTCACAAAGCTCTTGTATTTTATGAATGATAAATTTTCACAAGTATTTTATTCATTTTCACGTAACAATAATGAGATTGTTGACTAAAAAGCTTTTAAATCACTGAATCATAATTAGAAATTTCATTCTTATTCACAGCATTCTCTCATTGATTTTTCTTGTTTTAAAATATATTTTATTTCCATTCATAGTTTTCTTCTCCTTCTTCAGCACGAACTTGCGATATTTTAAAATTCTCATTCAAACGAACAGAAAAATGAAGACAATAAAGTACTTATAATATTCTAATGCTGTTGCTTCTTCTTTCAACCCCCGCACATGAGTTCACTTAATGTTAATATAAACTTTCCAAGTGAAGAGGTGTCGCAATTTGTAGAGAGAAGCTGAAAAAACTACAAAAGTGAGTGAGTAAGAGAAGACAAAACACAATGAAGCACTAATGAGTAAGTTAAGGATAGGAGTGTAGAAACTAGGGCAGTGAGGTAAGGTTTACATCATTTCTTCAATGTGCTTTGTTTATTTCTTAGCCCTAAATTAATATTTCTAATACTTTAATAAATCAACTCCACCCTCCTCCTTTCCAAAACATATTCCAACTACACCCCTGGGCAACAACAAGCTTGATATAAACCTTGAAAGACTTCAATGAATCTCAAATAGCAAGACGAAGGAGTTCATTAATATTTATTTATATGTAGCATTAAGGAGGTATGACAAAACATTGCGGAATAAGTTGAACCGTGTACACATCATCATTCAACCCTATATGCTGAACAAAAAAATATAAAATAAAAACGCAACAAAGCAGAATGGAAATGAGAAGTACACGTTTATCGATTTTCCTCTCCAACAATGGAGTTTCTTTTCTCAATTTTCATTCTGCTGTTGTTGTTCCTTCTTACTTCTTTTGTTTTCGTATATCTTTATTTACCATGTAAAAGCTTGTGTAAAAAAGTTTCCCTTGAAGCCTAAAGCTTTTTTTATGGTCGGATGGCTTTAAATTATGCAAATCTCTTCCAACTTGTTTATGATTTCTAATCGGTAATGCTGCACAGTAAGAAAGATACAAAACGAGTGTTTCCACTTTTTTAAAGGAAAGATTCGCATAGTTTATTATGTATTACGTTTATTTTTAGATAAGAGAGTAGCTGTCTGAGTAAATTTGCAGTCAAATAAGACAGTTGAGATGTTAAGTAATTTCAGTGGAAGGATAAATTTATTTTAACGTTGATTAGCATCAGAAATGAATGGTCACGTAATTAGAAATTCAGAAAAGTTATTTAAGACTCAGGAAAGTTCTTAGTTGACTCAGCTAGTAGGCAAGGTATTTAATGTGGGTAGAGCAAGAAAAAGGTAGAGCAAGAAAAATTCTACATTCCTGGATCCAACAGCAAAAGCACCTACTTCGTAGGCTTAAATAACTATCAACAGCTTCGATTATCTCATTTTGCATATTCATGCTTCATGTTAAGTATTAATGACAACCTTCAATTAGTGTCACATCGTAGATTTATTTAAATATTTGAAATCACTGCAAAGTTTATAGTCCAATGGGTTTTAACAACTCGTTTAGCATATTTAAAGTGAAACTTGCTTGTAGGCTTATTTAACCTGAAAAGATATTAATAAGCTGTACAACATGTATTTAACACCTGCTTAAATTGCTATCTTAGATCTCTCTTCTATCATAACTTGAGACAAAATCTCTTAACTTTCCTCAAACTTTACATAACATCCAATTGTTCCTTAACCACATCACAGTTTGTGGCTCAGTATTTATATTGTACGCAACAGTTTTTCTTTTAAAACTTTCATTCGAAATGACTTAAATGACATGTTTTAGGTTTTCATTAACTAGCTTTCCCAATAATTGTTTAATATAAAAAATTTTCACGTCAAGATATTTTTATGGCCATCATATGCCACAATACATCATCGAAATATTGTTCCGAATAATTTTATCATTAACTGTCGTTCAGAAAAATTTCACGTCATGACGTCAAACAATGTAAGAAAAAAATGTTGATTATTTTAAAAATGGCTTCTTGACTTGCTTCACATAACATTCTTTGCTGAATGAAAAAACAAAATGCGCTGAGGTTCATCAACACTGAAATTTCAACCTTTTTAAGTTATTCTACAACTCAAAGGGATATTGAGCATAGAAAAAAAAGACCAAAATATGAGATTTAGTCATTGCAAGAGACGTGAGAGATGTGCTTTGTATATATTTACTTTTTCCGAATGTGTTTTTGTGTTAAATTTTTTTTTTTTCGAGTATGTTGTTGAATTTACAACTCACGCAATCAACAGTTTATTGTTACAGTCGAAAGGTCGGAGTCAGTCGAGGCTGGAATGATAAATGTGTTAGTGCTCTTTTTTTCTGTTCTCGTAAAGTTTATATTTTTTCCATTTTTTACTCTCAAGGGAAGCAAGAACACGGGAGAGGAGTTTCAGGATAATTGAAATTCATTAATAATGCTAGGGTATGGATGGGTTTGTTCAATCATCTGCTCAGTCTTTTTGGAATGAAGATGGATATTAATATTTTGTCACAAGCTAAATATTAGATTTTATTCCTTTTTTAATTTTATGGTAATAAATAAGCTGATCGAGAGAAGTGAGTATGTAAAATGTTTCGGATCCCTTTCGAAAAGTTTTAAACAAAAAATCTCAACCATCTTTTGAGGAATAAGATGATTCCTATGAATGACTTATAACTTTGCAGCATTAATAGATATACTCCTGCTTTAATCATCAAAAAAAAGTGGAATCAAGTCAACTTGTTTTGGCCGAGATTTCATGAAACTATTAAAACTCTTGCAGATCTTTTATAACGTCACAAAATCTTCAATCGACTCCCGATATTGTGCTCCAAAAAATCTTAAAAGTACTCTGGTTTCTTAGAATTTGTAAAAAGAATTTAAACCTCATAATTTATGAAAAGGACGGCATTTCTTAGAAAAAAGGAAGCAACCTCCTGTTTCTTGTAAGAAGAACTGACGAAGAAAAAGTTCGACACGAGTTTTTAAAATAAAAAAAGAAAGTTTCTGCGAAGAACATTAAATAGTCAAGAGTTAAAATAAAAAATGAAACAGCTGAATTTACCCAAAATGCAATATTACTGGCCATCAAGAGACTTTTGATGAGTCCCATTGCAGCTGTCGTCTGTAAATGATCACTCATTTCTCACTCAATATTCGAGTTTTTTTATATTCCACTTGAACGCCTTATGTTGCACTAATAAAAACCGCAAATCACAATTTTGAGGGGAATTTTCAGCCACAGAATTTATTTTTTTTTTTATTTTTTCTACTCAATTTTCAAGCCTTTTTTTTATTATTTTCTCTCACTTTATACTTTATATAAAAAAATTATTATTTTCCACAACAAAATACACACACAAAAAAATTGATTCGTTGTGATGATTCTTATCACACACTTTATGATGTGCGAAATGTGTTCATAAATATTCTCACTTACACGCGATAATAAATATATGTTGTGCTTTTTTTGTTCACCCCCCGTCACAAATAAAAAATGTGAGCTGGAATATTTTCAGCTATAACTTTTTTTGTTATTTTCAGTTTCTTTTTTTTCCTGCTGTGTGATAAACCGAACTGTGAACAGAAGCGAAAAATTTCTCTGCAGAACTTTTCTCAACCGTGGACAGTAGACGAATGATGAGAAGATGTGTGTTACTCCGTGGGAATCTTGTTTATGTTACAGAGCATGAAGGTTCATCAATGACGTCACTGGTAAAATTTCCTCTCGGTTTTCTCTCGTCATTTACTGGAAAGGAGGAAGGAAAATGCTCGGATTGGAGCTTTTGAAAGCTTTGTTAGAAAACTTAAAAATTTGAATTTTTTATGGCGGTTATTTCGATTTTTTTGGATTTTTTCTCTCTCTGAGAATTTTAAATTAATTATTTTTTTTATAAGCATTGAAATTTACTTATTTTTTTCAGTCTATAAGAAGTTGCTGACATGATTAATCAAATTTTATATTTATTCATATTTTGTTTACGAATATTTTCTATACATTGTGGTAAGTTACTATAGTGCTCTTAAGAGTCGCTTGTTTATTGATGTTAACTAGTCTTTCGGTATCTCTGTCTTGCTTCTTTTGATGTTAAATAAGCTCTACAAGAAACATACTAAATAAACGACTTTTCAGTTGGCAACCTTTACTAAACTGAATAATAGATTTCAATTGATTTTAATATTATCTTAATATTTATCTTCAGAGTCATGCACAATCCCTTCAACTGGACTCTCAGGAAACTGTGTCATCTTAAACCAATGTCCTACAATAAAAGAGGAGTTTAGAAAAGATTCAACAAAAACACCAGTTGTGTGTGATAAAAAGTTAAGAACAATCTGCTGCCCAGTTGAAACGTTATCAGTTGAAAATTCTTTAAGCTTTAGGGGATTCCCTAAAACTCAGAATCAGACAAATAATCAACAGTTTTTACATTTTAATGAAGGTTTGTTGATATTTTATGAATTAATAAGTTTCAAATATCACTAGGCCGGAGCCATTAAAAATAGATCTCAATAATATCCAAAATGACCTTTCACTTAAGACGTTCAAAATTAACGGTCATTTTTCAAAAACGAACAATAGATTTCCAGGAATTTCTATTGTTCTTTTCTTGCTGACCCCCCACCCCCTCCGGACGTCGTAAGTGAACGGCCCCTTAACTACTTGCTCATCTATTTCAGCATGTTCAAACTATCGAAAAAAGATGACAAAGAACGTGACAATTTCCTCATTCATTGTCGATGAGCCAGAAGAGCATCATTTAATTAATTATTGCAACACAAATCAAAGAGACATTGGAGTTGCTGTGGAAAAGGAATTTCCACATGTTGCATATATTTTTGGAAAGATAATACTAAAGAATAGAAATGGAAATGTTGTCAAGCCAGTGCAACAAGTTGTTGAAACAAAATGTTCTGGTTCGTTAATTACGGAAAATTTCGTGCTCACAACTGCTTTATGTGTTAGTAAAAATCGACATTCATCTGCAATCGTTCATTTTGGTGTTCTGAATCTGACGTCGGAATTTGAAGCTTATTCAACAGTTGAAATTCCAAAAATTAACTTACTGACATTTTTAGAAATTACTTTACTGAGATTAGTAAATAGTATGGATGTAAATGAAAGCATTATGCCAGCTTGCTTGTCGTCTGTATCGAACGCAAAATTTGTATTGAGTGGCTGGACAGGATATAAATATGAATGCAATCCTCTCTTGAAAAAATGGTACATTCGAGAGGAGGATGTTGAAAATTGTGGAAAAACAATGCTTTGTGTTGATTCCATAAACATCATCAACTATCATGAGGTAAAGCAAAATAATTATTATTGAATTTCTAGGTTTATTTTTGTCGAGTGCTTATTCCTCCTCAGGTTTTAAAACCCTTTGCTGGTTAATACGAATAACCTTTAAGCAGACTCGTAGTGAGTTGTGAAATGATAAAGTGGGAAGGGGTGGTTGAGTTATTTTGAGTCATTCAGTTCTAACGTCTATCATTGAGCAGCATGAAAGCTCTTTTTTTTTTAACATACGATATATTGAACAAACCCTTAATTAGAATTATTAATTTCAGACTCTTGTACCTGGAAGTCCACTTCACGTTTATCATCCTGAAAGCGACTGTCAATACATTATCAAAGGGCTGTTTAAGCGAATTTTCATGGAAAAATATGAATTTATTTCTTTAAACAGTTATTTGGCGTGGATAGAAAACAAAGTTTTTAGCTAAGATTTGTTAAAATAAATATTAAAGTAACTGGTCTTGTAAAAATGATAATTAATACATAGTTGTTGTGTTATTTAAAAATCTGCTTTATTTAATATATAATTCTGAATCAGTGGGCAGGGAACCCTAAGCGAGTCACAGCTAAATAAAATTTATACTTTATATATTGAAAGGATATCTTCAATTCAAAAGTAGCATGCCGTGTATAGCTTAATAAATTAGTCCCTGGTTGAATTAATCTTATTGAAGTTCCAGAAAGAAATGATCAAATATACAATTAATGTCCAACGAAAGAAATGGCTCATCAGATTTTGTTTTGATTTGACTATTTGCAACATATGTTTATAATTGACCTTTGATCTCATTTCATTTGTTTACCATTTTTAAGCTCATTTTTACTCAAAATCCTCTCAAAATTCTCAGTCACTCTATTTAATTCAAAAATTATTATTAAATCATTCTTAGTTCTGATTTTAAAGTGATTGAGAGTAGTTTGATAGAATTTTACAAAAATTTTGATTTAATCATGAAGTAAGAGAATACATGTTGTGGCTTCATATTACTGATTCCAAAATATAAGTTCTTAAAACATACTCTTAATATTAGGGTTTTTGACACCCGGACCTAATTTCTACCCTTTTTCTGACCTAAACCAAGTAAAACGTCACTTTCTGAAAGACATTTAATTTTACGTATTTTTCAGAAATAATCTTTTTGTAGCAGCAGTCATAGTTGTACTGTCAATCATACCAATCACCGAGCAAAGTGATAAAGAATATGGCGATTTATTTACTAGTTTACAAGACGATGAAACTATTGAAACAAAAGCTCATGACGGTGAATATGTGTGTATTCGAAAATACGTAATAGAAGGTCACTTAACGACACATCAAATTGATGAAAATCCAAAGAAAATTAACATGTTTGATGTAGACTGTAAGGAAGTTATAAGAACAGCCAGAGGTAATGCAGCAGATACAATGGCTAGTGATGAATATTTATCTGAAGATCAAAAGAAATGTGTCAGGAGGAAATTTATTAATGGAAAACATTTTGACGCCATGGCTGTTGCTGTTGCTCTTAGGCAAAGCACATTGTCACCAAATCAAATGGTTGAAGAGAAAACTAAGTTTATTGAAAAAATGAATGAGATGTCAAAAAGTCTCAATGAATGTGTCATGAAGAAGAAAAAGAAGGAAGAGAAAAAGGAGGAAAAGAAGGAAGAGGAGAAAAAGGAATAATAGTAAGGGATACATCATTTAATAACCAACCCCTTATAAATAAAATCCATCAATAATGTTTCGATATTTTTCGAGAACAAAATGTCTTTTAACTTTTAACGTTGGCGTCAATTCTCCAGTCGCAATTGTGAAGTCATTCGGAAGAATCGCAAATTTTTGTATTCTTTGGGGATTTGAAAGTGCTTGAGCGTTTACTCGGTCAATGACATTTTGGAATGCTTTAAATATTTTCTCATCCTTTGGACTTAAGATGTCACTTAAAGTTGAAAAGTTTAAGGAGTTCTGAGTCAACCATTTTTGAGCTTCAGGTGCCAAATCATCTTTTGGTTTTAAATTTTCATCAATTTCAGTCTTTAAAGACAATAAAATTGATAGAAACTTTCTTTTATCTCCAATCAAAAAAGCATTAGAAATTGCTGGACATTCAAGCTTCACCAGATTCTCAATTCGAGCTTTTGGAATATTTTCACCACCACTCGTGATAATCAACTCCTTCTTCCGTCCATTAACAAAAATTAATCCATTTTCATCAATTCGTCCAATGTCGCCAGTATGGAGCCATCCCTCATCATCAATTGTTTGAATTGTCTGTTGTATATCATTTAAGTAACCCATAAAAACATGTCGTCCACGCATGCAAATTTCCCCATTCCCATTTCCATCCATATTTATAATTTTAGTTTCGGTTCCATCAAGACAGACTCCAACACTTTCGAATGAATGAATTTGAGTTTCATGCGATGTTAAGCAATGGACAGTTGACGATTCACTCATGCCATATGCCTCGTATATCGGCATGCTTAAAGAAATGAAAAACTTTTTCGTCTCAATGCTCATCGGAGCACTGCCCGTAAAGAATAGTTTACAGTTTTGAAAACCTAAAGCTTCTTTAATTCTTCTAATGACAAAGTGATTTACAAAATCACATTTTAAGGACGAGGAATTAGGTGTAAAATAATGTTCAGAGATTACATTTTGCGACCATGAGAAGATTTTCCTTATAATTAAATTAAATTCATTGATTTTCTCGCTCACTTTTTCCTGAATCTTTTCATAAATTCTTGGCACAGCAACAAACACGGTTGGTTGAATCTCCTGCAGACATTCCAATACCGACTTTATGTCAGCAAAATAAACTGTTCCTGCCATGTTGATAACTTGGAATATATCAGCCGCAAATGCAGTTAGATGTGATAGAGGAAGGTATGAGATTAATACTTCCTTGCCTACCTCAATTCGTTTCATTGCCTGAAAACACTTCTTAATATTCCATATTAGACTGTCATGTGACAACATGGCACCTTTTGGAAATCCTGTTGTACCTGATGTATACATAATAGTACAGCATTCATTAGGAACTATCTGATTTAATCTTCTTTTATACTCTATTTCTGTATCATCTGTGTCAAGTTTCATTAGTTGATTCCAATTTAAAATGGCATTTTCCATCAAATTTATATTAATGTCAGATAATAGAATTATGTGTTTAAGATGCGGTAAATCATCCTTAATTTCATTGATTTTTCGAAGTTGTTCTAGGTTGTCTATTATTAAAATTTCAGTTTTTGATGAATCAATGATGTATTGGCATGCTGGTGTGCTGCTGGTTGTGTAGATTGCTGTTACTACGCCACTAAAGGAATTAGAGAAAATTCAATGTCGATTCTAATGTTTTGAGAAACAAAGGAAGCTAATGGTATGAGTATGAGTTAATATATCGTGGACACAGGTTGTCCAGCACTGGATTTTAGCTCACTTTTTGCTATTAATATTGTGATGGACCAGTGACTTAGAAGAAGCAATGAAGAAGCTTCTCATTAAGAATTGGTTAACAGATAATTCCAACCCCACCTTGTCCTGGCTACAACGCTGAACCCAAACAATGAACTTTCTAAATTTTAAAGCTCAAGAATAGATCAATTACTCCATTAAATAAAGAATTAATTTCACTTGAAATTATAAAAAAATAAAACCAAAAATTCCATCTTCGTCTTATTTTTAAAAACATGTTATGTGTACCATTTCAAATACTTAAAAGTCAACACAGCAGTTACATGAACAATATTAGTTCCTTCATAAAAAAAATGTCTTATTCGACCTTCACCAACGCAATCATTAGCTATTCAAGTCACAATTGAAAACCAATTATTAATCTATTTACCCAGCATGAATGGCTCCCAATGCAGCAACAACCCATTCAGGACAATTCCATGCAAGAATTGCAACAACGCCACGCTCACTCAATCCAAGCTTGATGAAAACTTTTGCAATTTTTTCCACCCGATTTTTGTATTCTTGATATGTGAGAAAATTCCATTTTCCATTTGCATCACGACTTGCCAATGCCAAATGAGATGGAAAATTTTCGACTGTCTCATTGAAGAAGTCAATTACTGTGGATGGCTTAAAATCATCGATATTTGCTTGGATTTTTACTTTGTCGTTCAAAGTTGTTGCTCTGAGTGTCTCCATTAGAAAATGAGTCGAGAATTACTTGAAAGCGAATGAACATTATTCACATGACTTTTAGAATTTATTGAGTACCTTGGTGAATATTTTGACAAAATAAAAATTTGTATATAATTTTCTTGGTACGTCTGTTATTCTCAGAGTTCTACTTAAAAATGCTTTTGCTGCGACTAGATGTTATGGAATGATCTAGACAATAAGTCAACTATTCGCATCAAGAAATATTAAAGTATTGTTGCAACTGCCTAACATAAAAGCTAGTGAATTAAAACTCACTGAATTTGGAACATTGATCATCATAAATTAAAATAATGAGTTAATTAATAATTCCACATATTCTAGCAGTGAATATTTTATATAGCGACACATTGAGTTGTGTGCTGTCATACCACACATTGATACTAATTATGACCTAATTTAATATAATTCTAACGGGATTAAGCTTTGATTTTTATTTGCCAATATTTTCTCTGCTTCCATTGTTTTGCCAAGAGTTTGCATGAAAATGTTTGTTTCGCTCATGAACTGGAAAAAGTAGACCTGAAAATAAATTATAGAATTAAGTTTTGTTATTTGGAATATTGAAGCTACTGAGTAGGATGATTGAAAGTCCCTTTAGAGTACACCTGCTTAACCCCTGGAACATAGACTAAACTACTTAAGTGAAAACATAAAACCAAAACCCTATGAATCTAAAGCTAAGCAAATAAAACCCTTCCCAATCGGTTACTCTCGATCTCAAGATTCAAAACATTCCAATTTCGATTTTGACAATCCTGAACCCTTACCATATAAATCGTGATTGCTTCCGCCATCTGAAAGAATGTTGCCAAAAAATTATTCAATAACTTATACTGCCAATAAACTCATTCACCCCAATTAGAACGCCATAATTTATATAGAAAAATCCATTAGCATCAAATAAAAATTTAGAGCAATGGATATGCTGCAAGAAGAATCTTCTCTTTGAGTGCGTGACACTGTCGAACTCAGATTTCCATTCAAATATTTCAGCAAGTGAATTATCACGTTGAATTTGAATTTCATTGCAAGAATAAAACAACACAATAATGCTGACTATTTTGCCCCATGGACACGAGCACGATTCTAAAATTAAAAGGAAAAATAGATGAACTGAATTAAATTTATTTTCACGATTGATGACACACGTGCAAAATTTGGATTATTTCCAAAAATGAATCCGCCGTAAATCCAGTAGGAATCAACTATAATGTATATGACATCTCCTGTGAGGTTTAACAGCAGCATCCATTTGAAAAATTCTCGACTTAATTGAATAATTTTTGCTATATCCAAGTCAAATGTTTTGACTTTTTTCATGTTTTTCTGCACTTCTAGCTCAATTCCTTCATTTTGCTTTAGAACTTTTAATCTCAAATGATTAAGGATCTCTAATCGTCCACTTATGTAGTCACAATAAAATATAAAGCAAATGAACATAAGTCTGTTCATGTTTAAAGCGAAAAGTCTTGTTTTTATTGCCAATTGCCAGCCAGGATCTGAATGAACTAGCCTAGAATATGGTAACAATTGACAAAAGATTATGAGAATTAACAAAACTTTATTAATCTGTTCCACACCCTTGATTTTGACTATCTTACGATATAATTTGAAAAAGTTCAATTCCAAGCCCAACTGCTGTTACAAACATAAACTTCCCAAGGAAGAAAATGATTCTTTTTGAACGAATTTTCCAGTAAAGACCTTCATCTAATTCCTCAAACTCTTTATTTATTTTCAACTTCATTGCTTCAAGCTCCAAACAAATGTTTCGATTGTTAAAGAAAATGATTAAATTTAATGTAAATGTAAAAATGGGTCCGAAAAGTTCAATGATGTCTGTAAATTTACTGAGTGGATCTGTTGAAATGAAGAGATTTCCATTTATTAAGAATTGTGTCAGGATTATAGTTTGAAATGCCAAATTAATGAATGTGACAAAAAAATTAAAAACTTTTGATTGTTTAACAGCACGAAACCCAAAAATTGTGAAGATTTCCTCAAATGTATTGTAGAAACTTTGAACTAATTTTCTTTGGTTCATTTTCGTTAACTTTAAATGAGACTTGAGTTCGAAATGAATGTCGTTCTATGTTCAAAACCTTTTTGACAATCAATTGGAAATATTTTTTATAATATGTTAATTATACATAATTAGTATGACGCTGAATCTAATTATTGTGCTAATTAGGATTAATTATGTTCAATAAATCAATTTGATATTTATTCACAAGATTTTCTAATATTTTAGATGTAAGTCTAAAATAAAATCCTATTCAAATGAGATGTTCTATCTTCTTCATTTGTAGAATGTTCATCTTCGTCTTAGTAAAGATCAATGTGTTGAAAACTAGTTTTGTAATTCTTCAATAATATTTTATAAAATCCAAAATCTTAGCTATAACGGTTAAAACAAATTTGAATTTATGTTGCGATGTGTTCAGTAAAAATCTTCAGGGGTTTAAAATTGCACTCAAATGTCCAAAATTCTTAAAATTCAAAAGTTTAGCCAATTTTAAGAATTTTGGAGCAAATTTAATAAATGAAATTGAATTAATTTTGCTATTTGAATACTTCTTTGCTACAATTAATTGATGTTATTCACCAATAATTTAAGAATCTTATCAAAAACTCTTCACTTAACCCTGATATTTACAAATAATAATACGTAAATTTTAGCTGTTGTGAAAAATTGTAAATTGTGAAATAAATTCAACTATTTAAAGTATCAGTTTAAGTGCAAATTCACCAATACTCAACATTCCTATCAAATAATTTTGTGAAAACCAAATTAAATTTATAAAACGTGAGTAAAATAAGTTTTTAAAAATTTATTTACACACAAAAAAGCCGACAGAAAGAAAATTAAATTCTTACACTTATAAAAATATTGATAATTAATACATATAATTTGAAAATAATGCCTAATATTAGTACAATATAATAAATGACTTATCAAAATATAAAATTTCTCTTAAAATCTGATTTCAAAATCTTTATAATCAACTCTATTGATTGTATTCCAATTCTCAAATTCACATTTCTCAATTTTTGATCCAGGACATCCGATGTGTCTGAGCCACTCGACCCTGAAATGATCGTAAGATAGTAAAAATGTCAGATTAATAAAACAACAAATAAAAACAAAGTCATTATTCACTTATTTCTTAAGCATCTATTTTTATAAACTAGAGCAGCCAAAAAAAAAATCTCTCATTTTCGGCAATTACGTTCTATTTTCGAGTGACTACAAACTATTTTACTCGAATCTGAATATTCTCGATACATTTTAGCACAGGAAGGTCACATCTTACTTACATTTTGTCAACTTCCGGCTTAAGACCTTGCATTTTTCCTACAATTGTTCCTTTTTTACTGTTCTTGACCCATCCGTGAATTCCTGCATTTAAGCAATTGTCACGACAATGTTTTGTGAAACCGACTCCTAAATGATTTGAATTGAAATATTACTGAAGTTTTGGAATATGTCTTTTAGCTGACATGGATATCCTTTCATGTAGATTGACATTTTTTAAGATTTTTAGAATTGTCAATAGAACCGAGCGACACAACTTAGATTCTAGGATCATTATGTTGAAGATCAAACGTTACATAGATGTTAGGGTATCTTAATTGTGTTCAAATAGCTCTGACGTATAAAAACGTGATCAGCAGCTCGACATAGGCTCCATTAAGCATTTATATGGAGCTTAGAAGCCATACCTAAGCACTACGTTTGGCTGTTATATGTTCTGGCTCATAATTTGAAATGAAAGAGTATCCATGCCTTTTTTTAAAAAAAATTCTTAATTATTCCAATTCACTTTACCTTGAACATGACCATAAACTTCAAAATCACACTGTACAAGTAAATTTGTATCATCCATACCCATATTTCCTCTTTTAATATTCTTTTTTATTTAGAAAAATATATTTTTTATTTTAAATTTCACTCTCTGTAAGTGCAGTTATGTCACCGCTTATACGAACAATAAAATTGCAACTGAAATGAAATCGAATTTTAAAATGTTATTCTCTTTTCTCGCCGATCGAGAAGTGCCTTCTAGAATCAGCAACAAAATAAAATTCACCTTTTCCTGCTTCCTTGGTATTCGACTTTCACTTCACTTCACGAAAAATGCGAAAAAATATTATTTGTACGAAATGTTTTTCTTTCAGCTTTTCGATATTTCACGAACGACTTTTCCGATCAAACTGATGCTCATCGATAGAATGTCTCTCAATATAACAGACCACTGACGTCCACTTTAATGAAAGTATAAGTCAATTAAGTAAATAAGAAACAACAACACGTTTCATTCTTACGACAAAACGAATATACAGCCGAGACTCTCTTCCTTTATTTTTGTTTTTATATTCTTTTGCTTGTTGTTTGTCGAAAAGGGAACTGCGTCAAGATGAAAATTAGCTTAAGATCAACAAAAGAAAAGAAAATTTTTTTTGACAAGATTCTTTGGATCATAAAGATTAATAATGTTGACATTTTGGGCGTGTAGACTCGTGTCTATCATTAGTCATTCTTGGTGTGTTAAGTGATGTAAATGACCTTCTGCCTTAAATAGAATTAATTTCTATTTTTATTAGTAGGAAGTTTGACACTCTTACTTTTTGTTGGCGATAAACTGAAAATTATAAAATAAATTTTATTGGGGGTTATTTAAAAATGATGTTAATTGACTAGCTTACTCTTTTTAAACTAAATTGACTGAAACATATATGTTTGAAATTTAATAATGCAGTGTGGCTAGTGTAAATGAACCTAGTGCATATTAAACAACGATATCATATAGGAAAGAAGTTGTGCAACAAGTTCTCAAGTATGACCTTTTTGAGCTTAATCTGAACGGAATCGACATGTTTTGATTTAATGCTAGCTATGTGAATGAGATAATTAAGGAAATGAGCAGCACTACGTGTCTGTATGATCCATTTGATCTAAAGGTACTGAACTGCTCAACTGACTAGATAATTGTTGGTTATTCCGTACCTTTAGTTTAAACCTCTATTTGCCAAAAAGTATTGTGAAGCCCCAATAGAATCGTTTAATTCTGATTCATATCTAAATTAAGATTTTAATGTCCTAAAATTTCTCAAAAAGCATCATTGTCAATGGGGTTGCTAGGAGAGACTTTGTGGCATTTCTAGATAAACTCATAATTTCCAAAAAATTTAATTCTAAAAAATTAACAAGCAATTTTAAATAGTCGCTGTATGCCGATTCCTTAACTTCTTAATTTAAACTCAAAAAATATGTTTCTTTATTTATATTTTTAACGACTATCAAGAGAACGATGGATAATTTTAGTTTAATCGCTCTTTCACTTAAGAGAAATGAAAGTAGATTATACAAATGTACGTTGAGATTTGCACGATAGATTTACTAGCTGGAAATGGTGATTCAATTTGATTTTGTGTATGTACCGTACGTACACTTAGATGCTGTTCATATTTTCAACGCATTATCGTACTTTATAGATTGTACACGAAATTTGTAAACAGCCACGAGTTAAAAGATGAAGATTAAGAATAAATAGAATGTGTATTCATGTTGGATGTTGCCAAAAAATATTTTCAAAAATTCCATATGCTTGAAATTTGCGTGTTTATAATTTTAAAAAGTGCTTGTGTTATTTTTGTTGATTGAAATTTTTCATGGAAAGCAGGGCATGTGATTCAGACTTAATGAAACAGGCACGTAAATGAAAAAAATTCTGCAGTTGAAGGAAAACTTTGGAAATTGACTGAAAAATACCCAATGGGTGCCGATGGTTCTTATTCTTCGAAAATGGTCCTTATTCTTCGAAATCGAAAATTCGAATTTGAATTTTTTTCAAAAAATGAAAATCCGTTAAAAATATTTCATCAAAAAATTATATTTGTTTACATCAGTAAAATTTTGATTAATTTTCATTAATTATGGGTAAAACCTGCAAAATTGCAAGCTGCAACAAAAATAAAACAATTACAAATCTTTTTAAAGTACCTAAGCACTCATTAAACAAAGATAAATGGTTGTTATTTTTAAAATCAAACAACATAAGTGTCGACGGAAGTGAGATTTCTGCTGTAAGTGATTGTAACACATTCAAGACAAAATTTTCAGATATTGTTCTTAGTCAGGTTGAAATTCCATTTGAGCATTGTTCAAAGACTATTGAAAATTTAATATTATTTTTTGTAACTTTTCGATCAAAACTTGAACTTCATTGTCGATTGTTACATTCAAAAAACAAATTTGCGTCGAGGAATTGATTTTTGTTCATAAATAAATTTAACGGTCTTTAAAATTTCAAAATTTTTTATAAAAAATTATTTTTCGAATTTTTTCGAAACAGGTTTGAATTTTAGAAAAAATAACGGTCTACATTGTTGTAGGCACCCATTGGAAAAATACAAATGAAATCTTTTTTAATTTTACATAGTTTTAAGGCAAACAATTGCAATAGTCAGCAGTTTTAAAAACCCTTTTATTTTAATTTATCTGGTTAATTCATTCCTCGTCAAAAGCGTAGAGACTAGCCATCAGCAGATTCTGAATCAACTCAATTTTACATTTTGTCTTTAGAATCTAAGTTATGACTAACCATTGTTACTGTTAAGTTTCAACATATTGAACCAGATGCAAAGCAAAGATTTTTGTCTCCTGAAGCCATGTCATAAAAATCCAGGGGTTGACACGATTTCATCTTGATGAAAAATTTCTTCATTCTATTGTTAAGATGAAATATTTGTATGAATTGATGAAAAATGATGAAGAAAGATGAAAATGATGAAATTTTTGTATGAATTGATGAAAAATGATGAAGAAAGATGAAAATGATGAAATTTTCGGGTGAGCTCGGTTTGTATGAAAAATACCTCGAAAAAGCAAATTTTTCTTATTTGAGGCAGTGTTGCAAATGTAGATGTCTACACTAGATGAAGAATGTAGATTCTTCAATAGTTTTTGTCTAGCTAAGAAACTTTCTTCATAAAGATCGATTCTACATGTAGAAAGAAAAAAACCATCTACATGTAGATTGTGTCTACATGTAGAATCTGTCTACATGTAGATTCGATGTAGATGTCTATAATTCTACATTTTTTCCAGGTCTACATCAGAGAAGAATGTAGAATCGTAGACATCTACATTAAATCTACATGTAGACAGATTCTACATGTAGACACAATCTACATGTAGATGGTTTTTTTCTTTCTACATGTAGAATCGATTTTATAAAGAAATTTCTGTCTCAGAATTTATCTGATCCAGACAAATAGCCAGAATGCAACACTGATTTGAGGTGAAAAATCTTTCGGAAAAATAAATGTTTGCATTAATTTTTTTATTTAAAGTGAAAAACCCCAAAGAAACCCGAGTAGCACCAACAACAACAACTGGTTTTACGTCGACGTCAAGGCACCATCAAGTGGAAAAAAGCACGTCACGCCGCAAATTTACCGTTATGGCAACGCTAAGGCATCTACACGCACGATTTCGCCCCATTTGAACAATGAAATAATGGGGCGAAATCGTGCGTGAAGAAGCCTTTGCGTTGCCACAACGGTAAATTTGCGGCGTGACGTGCTTTTTTCCACTTGATGGTGCCTTGACGTCGACGTAAAACCAGTTGTTGTTGTTGGTGCTCCTCGGGAAAAGCATATTTTTCGTCTCGATTTTCTTAATTAGGATGAAAAACCTCTCGGAAAAGCCATTTTTCGTCTCGATTTCCTTACATGAGATGAAAAACCCCTCGAAAAATCATTTTTCGACTAGATTTTCTTCGATGAGATGTAAAAACCCTTTGAAAAGTCATTTTTCGCCTCGATTTTCTTCGATGAGATGTAAAAACCCTTGGAAAAGTCATTTTTCGACTAGATTTTCTTCGATGAGATGAAAAAACCCTTGGAAAAGTCATTTTTCGCCTCGATTTTCTTAGATGAGATGAAAAACCCCTCGAAAAAGTCATTTTTCGACTAGATTTTCTTCGATGAGATGTAAAAACCCTTTGAAAAGTCATTTTTCGCCTGGATTTTCTTAGATGAGATGAAAAACCTCTCGGAAAAGCCATTTTCGTCTCGATTTTCTTCGATGAGATGTAAAAACCCTTTGAAAAATCATTTTTCGCCTCGATTTTCTTAGATGAGATGAAAAACCCCTCGAAAAAGTCATTTTTCGACTAGATTTTCTTCGATGAGATGAAAAAACCCTTGGAAAAGTCATTTTTCGCCGCGATTTTCTTAGTTGTGATGTGAAAAAGCGAACGGAAAAGTCATTTTTCGACTAGATTTTCTTCGATGAGATGTAAAAACCCTTGGAAAAGTCATTTTTCGACTAGATTTTCTTAGATGAGATGAAAAAACCCTTGGAAAAGTCATTTTTCGTCTCGATTTCCTTACATGAGATGAAAAACCCCTCGGAAAAGTCATTTTTCGACTAGATTTTCTTAAATGAGATGAAAAACCCCACGGAAAAGTCATTTTTCGACTAGATTTTCTTAGATGAGATGAAAAACCCCACGGAAGTCATTTTTCGACTAGATTTTCTTAGTTGTGATGTGAAAAAGCGAATTTTCATAAATATTTTTGTAAAAAATGATTTTTTAAGGTAATTTGTATGAAATTACATACTTCACAAACCAAATAAATCGTGAAATTCTTAAAGATGAAAATAATGAAAGAAGATAAATTTTTTGTATGAATTGATGAAAAAAGATGAAGAAAAATGAATATTGATGAATTTTTTGTATGGAAAGATAAAAAAATGATGGAAAGATGAAATCCTGGATAAAAATGTTGGCATCTTGTTTTAAAGTTTATGCATCGGATTTATTGTAAAATCGCCTTTGGAATTGCTAAGCTAATAAAATGAGCCAAGAACTGGCTGAATTTCCTGATCTTTTTACATTTTAAAAATTCACTGACTCTAGGTTCTTGTGGCAAAAGTCATGATAGCTCGCCTTCGAATAAACTAGTTGAAGATAATTCTGAGTTACTTCCTACCCATCAAGTCTAATGTAGTTTAATGAATCTCAATCATTTTGTTTTTTAAAAATAGAATTCCTCAAGAACTTATCAGAGTTTCATCAATCAGACCACCATCAATCCTTTGATTTTTCTCTCAGCTTAATTCTCTCTTGCATGAAAAACGATTGTTTACAATTTTCTAATTTATAATCAACAAGACGAAAAAAATGTCTTCTTTTCGTGCTTGAGACATTTTTTTCTGACACCTATTAAATGTTTGATTTGTTTGCTCACATTTTTCTGATGACTGAAAGATATTTTTTTCTCGTTGACGAGAAAATTCATGGTTGTGTAATTTTTAAGAATTAATGGATTAAGGCGCTTAATTTTTATTTAAAATTAATATGAGTTACTGTTTATGGAAACACAGACTTGGTAATTATTCAAATAACATTGTCACTTTCCCTTTTTCTCTTGAAAAAAGTAATTATATGGACCCCAATCCCAATCAAAAATGTCTCACTGCGGTCCTAGTTGCATAATAGTTGAATCCACTCTATAAACTATTATTTTCACATTAATATTGGTAAAACTGCTGTAGAAGCATCACAAAATCTGATTTAAAAAAACTAATTTCCTTTATTTCTTGCCATGTACCTAATTACACATAATTTGTTAAGCTCATTCGATGCAAATTAAGCAAACAACTTTTTAATTAATTTTTAAGGTACTGAAAATGTATAAAATGAGTGAAGTTTTTTACACCAGACATATCTCGTGAGTTGTGAGTTGAAAATTAAATTATAATTATTGAGCAAAAATGACATCGGCAAAAATTATTTTCTTGCTATTTGCTATGTCAATGCTAGTAGCATCCACAGCAAGTCAAAGAGTCATTTTACAACATGGAAAACTTTGTACGCTTCAAGTAGTTGGTCATGTAATGGATGAGTTTAGTCGTCGATGGCCAGTTTATAGAAGAGTTTGTCGTATGGTTGTTCCTGGTGCATTGGGTGATGCTGTACTTGATGATGAAGATGAATACGATTCTGACGAAGATGATTTTGCTAAGAATGATGTAGTTGGGGAACTTAGACGAGCTATTCTTAAAAAAACATAATTTCAAAAATTCCTATGAAGCTATAGAGCTAAATGATGATGAAATTGCATTCTGAATAAAAATGTTATAAAAAAAAGATGAAAGAGCAAAAGTAATTTAATTGAGTAATTGCTTTTGTTTGACTTTTTTTCCAGCTTTATTATATTAATTTAAATTCTCTATCTCTGTCTATAATCATTAATAATATTAGACCAATAACATTCTCATCGAAACGTCGTCATCATCATCGGATATAACAATTTACAAATGGAACGGTTAAGCCTAATTATTTATCGAGTGCCCTCCCGTTGATTGCTTCTCTGCGGGTCACTCATAAAAGCTATATTAACTTGACATAAAAATTTTCAATTTTGCAATAAACTTTTTCTGTTTTGTATTAAAAACTATGAAATTTGTAATCGTTTTCAGAGGCTAGTCACTTACTTAGTGACTATATTGTGATGTTTTGAACAAGTTGATTTTACTTGGGATTATTCTGAAAAATCCCAAAAAAAAGAATCATAAGTCTTCCTTTCATCAAACTTTAAATACCAGTTAAAATTGCTAGTATAGTTGTTAAATAATTGTGGGATTCAAATTTTGATGTGTTGGGATTTTTAGGATTAATCCCAAGTGGCTTGGTTTTAAGCCTAGTTTGCGATATAATAAATGAATTGAACCAGTGTTGCAAATGTAGATGTCTACACTAGATGAAGAATGTAGATTCTTCAATAGTTTTTGTCTAGCTAAGAAACTTTTTCATAAAGATCGATTCTATATGAAGATAGAAAATCTAATCTACACAAAGATTATTTCTACATAAAGATTCTGTTTACATAAAGATTCGATGTAGATGTCTACAATTCTACATTTTTTCCAGGTCTACATCAGAGAAGAATGTAGAATTATAGACATCTCCATCGAATCTTTATATAGACAGAATCTTTATGTAGAAATAATCTTTGTGTAGATTAGATTTTCTATCTTTATGAAGAAATTTCTGTCTCAGAATTTATCTGATCCAGACAAATGGCCAGAATGCAACACTGAATTGAACTTTAACAGCAAGAAAATATATGAATTTTATAACGGTTTTCTAGAATTTGAAATTTCATTGACTTTAAATCCAACCCCTCGATAAGCTATTACAATTTTCATAGCTTCACTCACAATGATCGTAAGACAATAATAACACATAAAACATCAAACTCCCGACTTATCTTAAAAATATTTAGTTTTTATTATTTTCATTATTTTAATCATAATAATTATTTACAAAAATGGCATGTATGACGATGATAAAATCAAATTTACAATGCGAATTATAATAAACGTTTACTATGAACAGAGTACATAAAATAGTGCTTTTTATAGCATCATAAATGAGAAGCTAGTAGGAAATGGGAAGCTACAAGTTTTGGATGAAAATAATATTCTTAATTTTTTAAACACTTTTTAATATTTATTAACTTTTATATGGTTTTGCGTTGAACAGTTATCAGGCATTTTTATATTGTTCAAAATCTCTAAGCGGTAGCTTTTGAGGTTTAAAATGTTTAGAAGGAATTATGTGATTTTGAATTGAATTAATTTGACAAGACCTTCAGCTTCATGTACAAACTCAAAAATTCATTTCATGCTAGCTTTAATGAACATTTAATTTGAGTTTGGACGTTGAAAACAAAGGAAAATTTTGATGAATAATTGAAGAAGTCAAGCATATTTTTTGTTTTCAGTTAATCGCCTTGAGGATGCTTTAGAAATTCTAGATGTACATCTAAAATGACTAACTTGATGTTTTCAAAAGCAACATCTAATAAACTTGCTCTATTTTCTACATTCAAGCACTCTTTAAGCTCCTCATGTAAATTATTAAAAGATTTAAAAACTTCAAATTTTATATCAGAAGCTTCGCATAATTCCTTCCGCAATTTCAAACTCAACAGCCCTTAAAAGTAATTTTCTTGATACAATTAATTAATAAAATTACGATTATATAAAAGCATAGCGCATAAAACGTAGAATACGAAATGAAAAAAATTTCCCTAAGTATTCAGAGGAAGCAATTAAGAATTAAGAAGATAATTTTATTAAAGTAGAGACTTACGGTAATTCGTACAATCATTAAATTATTCTAAAAAGTTTCTTCCATCCGTTCATTGAAAAATAAACAAAAATACATTCAGACATTTGAATAAAAACTTTAATTGATCATTCATCATCGCATAAGATTCTATGCTCATCATTACTTCTTTCATTTATCGTATCACTTTCACTACTAAATTCGTTATTTGTTAACTTTACATCATCTGGGATGTTGTACTTTACTTTCATATCACCGTCACATAAGGAATGATTCATTTGAGGCTTTTCTATTAAGAGCACTGTATTGTTGTGATCAATTTTGTCAGTTGTCTCGTTAAGGCGCTTTTGCTTTTTCGTTCTTTCCTTTTGGAAGAATAATCGAATATAATAAACTGGGAATATAACGCATTGCCCAGCTGGTTCCTCGGCATCAATGTATACTCCACGAACGAGAACTGAGTTTGAACAGTTGAGGAGGATGAGAAGTACTAATGATACACCATGTGTTAGCCAGTCACTTAGAAGTTTGTTGTCTGTTGGGAAAGAAATTTGACAATGATTATTTTGTGTTTTGTTTGATTAAGAGCTATTCGGGACACCACAGTCAAAAAATGGAAGTATTTCAATTTTAGATATAATTTTACTATGACTAGAGTTGTAATATTGGAGAGTCCAAGAAACTGACACTTGGAATGCAATTCAAATAAATTTTAATCTAGGGACAAGAGTCAAGAAAGGGACTAAGGCTTAACAAGCTAAACCTACAGCAAAGCTCTGATTTCTAACAATTCCTTAAAAAAATTCTATACAAATTGTTTAGTCACATTCTCGTGTAATTTTATCTTGGTCTATCCATCTTTCTACATATATACTAAAAAATAAGCATCATAAAAAAACACTTTCGCATAGCATGATAAAAGAAAATATTTCACAAAAAAAGGCATTAAACCTACCAGGAAGGAAATAAATATCCAATAAAGCCCAAATTCCTCTCCAAACATTCACGGTCCCGATGAAACTCACGAAAAGGAATATATCAGCGATAATAATTCTCCAGAAGCCTTCAAGTTTCTCGCAAGCCCATTTCATTATCGGTTGAATTGAAAATGTTATTCCAACGATGGCATATCCAATAATCTATAGTGATGTTTGAAATAAGAAAAAAACAAAAATAAAAGACAATTTTCGCGACCCGTAAATAAACACAAAAAGAGCAAGAATCTTGAATAAAAAAATCATCATCCATCATTTGAATACAGCTCGTCATGTAATTCTTTATATACATATACGTCTCAATTCTCCTTGTTATCAATGCTTTCTGATTCACACGTAAGCGTATTCAAATTTGAATTAATAAAAAATTAGATTAATGGCATATGTTTTTCAACATATACTGTAAGTACTAAATAAGTTGATGCTTCTACATACTTTACAGATATAAATGTACATTGAGAAATCTTCTTTTGAATCTTCCGTCAAAGTACTCAAGTTGATTGAAAAGATACTTTCCTTTGATGATAAATTTTGAGGTAATTAAGAGGAATTCTTTGTGTATGGCAATGAGAGATCTTTTTTTTTAAAGGAAAGGAATTCTATTGATATGGAGATTCTTAAAGACATTAAATTTGTAGAATGAGTCTTTAATATGCATAAATGTTTGAAAAATAAAATTAAATTGGGGCTACTTGAATTTCAAAACTGAAGCAAGGTTGACAAATCTAGGACCGGGAAAGTTGGTTTTCTGTAGGACGGTCCTATTAGAGTTTAGATGTTCAGATAAGAAATCATCTCCACTTTCTCTAATGCTCTTAATGATCAATCTTTAGGGGCTACAAGCCAAGAAAAAATATTCTAACCTTAAAATTTTAAAATTGAAAATTACATTCGAATGCGTATTCCCATACATCAGGAAATAGTTAATAGACTTAGCTTATATGAAACATTTATAACAGGAGGAAGGGGATTGATATCTTTATATTTTAGGGACTTTAAAATTTGATTAAATTTAAGATTTTATTTTAGTAAATCTAAATCTTACGTAAATAAAACAGAGCACATCTGCATGCTTTTTATTGTTCAATTTTTAAGAATGTCAAATTTTTTATGTCTGTAACCTTTAGATCTCGTTTGATATATACTTCTACATGCAACTTAGCATATTTCTTCCAATTTAATGGAAAACAAGGTTCTGAAGAATCTAGCGTTAACATGTGCCTTGCCAAGCACTTTAAATTTTCTTAATGGATGTCTCAGAGTTTGATATTCTTTGAGTTCATTACATCAAGTGAAAAAATATTATTACTCATTATTCTTTAAAGAGCCATGTACTTCACCATATTTAAAAAAAATGTAACTTTGTAAAATCTTCAACTGTAAAATTCAGAGAATTGCCAATGGAAATAAAAAATGTCCTTCAAGAACAATTTTTTTACTTGCTTCAAAAATTCTGCCAAAATAAATTGAATAATTAATGTGAATTTTTGTTTAAACGTTGTCGTTTAATTTTATTTCCGAAGAATTTCTAAAGCAAAAAAAAAAACGAAAACTGTTTTTAAGCCTCTTGAATATTAAATGACAAGAAGGAATTTTCATGTGGCAATAGACAAAAAAAAGTTTCCACAAGCCTAATTCGCATTCATGACGAGCTCGAATAAAGTGACGGCAGAGATTCTTTTTATTTTCAATTATACTCACAAGTGATGCCCACGCTGATAAGGTTGGATCCTCCGGAAAAAGCTTTAAATCTAAGAGCACCCATAATCCTATTATTATGGAAGATTGCAACAAAATATGAGCTTTAAAGTGTTCATTCATGTTTAAAATATTATTTTAGATTATTTTATTTCTAACCTCGCCATACAAAGACGACAAGTGATCCGATGACAAGAACAGAAAATAAGCAATCAAAAATGTATAAGCCGGGCTCTCTTGTTCCCTGTGAAAAAAATAAGAAGAACGTGATAAAGGCAAATGTACTTTAAATTAAACTTATTTATTCTTCTATTGTAAAGTAATCGCGAATTTGCCTTTTTGTCAGCCGTTTTTCATTTTATTTTTATCCAATTTGAGTTTAATTCATTAAAATTTAGTTCAAATTAAATTGCTTGTTGTATCGAAATAGGAAATTTTTTGCTGGAATGTAAATTGTTCAGACTGGAAGTATAGTTTACGTTAATTTAATAATAATTTCTACAAAAATAAATAACTCAACTCTTTCAATGTGTATAGATTTGCTTATGAATGAATGGGATTACTGTAGGTAGGCAATGGGTTAAAGTGTTTGATTTATGCTTGCAAAAAACAGGAGCCGGCATTAAAGGTTAACTAGACTCTGACTATAGCAAGTAAGGAAATAAGAAGTTACGAATAAAAACAAAACTTAATTAAACAGCCAAGTTAAGGTTTCGATATTAGTCATTTATAACATTTAGCTTTGCTCCACAGCTTGGTTTTAAGCAGCATTTCTAGAATTCCTGCGCTCATGAGATTGAAAACGCTAGTTTTAAGTTCTACAAGCCAACCATTATATCCTGATGTAGTTGAAAATTGGCTTTGTTTCCTAAATGAATTCATAACCAGGACTTAAAAGTGGTGTAGCTAGCAATAGTAAAGAGTCTAGTTATTAATTAAAATTAGAAACAATTGACATTTTTTTAAACGTTTCATAAATTTAAGCCGATCTTTTATTTATTTCTATCTATTCCGTAACTATACACTATGTCTTAGTGTTATGATTAGGGAAAAAAGATGACTAGTAGTGTAGAGTTTAGGACCTAGTTAAATCAAAAATAAAACACAACAATTCCAGTTCAAAAACATAATCCATCAACCATTATCATTGAGATATTAAGCTATGAAAATATTAATCACGTGACTCATGAACTTATCAGCCAATTGACCACCCACAGTAATAGCCAAACAGAGGAAGCAAAGCATTATTGTTCATGTACACATTAAAGTGTATTAAGATGACAGCATTTGATGTGTGTACATGCTAAGCACATGTTTGATTATAAGAATAGCATAAGAGGCTATATATAGAGCATAAAAATTTTTCTCGTGTATATAGCGTGAGGTACTTTCGAAGTTTGCTCTTGAATTAATTAAAAACTAATTTTCACATAAAAAACCTCAAGTTTTTTCAAAACTTTGTGTAAAGGATGTGCATGAAAGATTTATTATAGCAATAAAACTTTAGAAGTTCATACAATGTCAATGTCAGGAAGTCAGTGACTGTAGACTTTAAACTTACCGACTTTTTGTACATTGTAGGAATATCAAAATATTCTTTCGAGTGATCAGTTACAATAACAAATGGTGGTGAAGTAACATTTCTAAATGCCTTAATTGCCATGAGTGCAATAATTGCAAAAACTGTTATCGACAATACCGTCCACATATCTCGTGCCGTATACTTATCAATCAACTAAATTAGAAAATTTTAAAGAATTTTTTTAAATCATTTTGAACTTAAACGCAGGTTTGTTAATTTTGCTTTACTTGCCAACCACCCCTCCATGTGTTAACACATATGACACCAAAAATACTTGTATAAAGTCTTGAGCCCAAATAAAATGTCAGCCTATGCTCATTTGGATTAAAAAGATTCCGAAAGAATCCTTGAAATGTTGTAAAAATAAGATGTCCTATTATTCCTATTACTAAACTCGCAAATGAGCTGTGCAGTTTGTCATGTGGAAGTAAAAATTTATCTGATAAATTCCATGTCCCTCTCCAGTATGTCACAACAAGTGGTCCAATTACGAATGATGCAAAAAATGTGTCAAGGAGTTGTAAAAATGCACTGTGATATGTCATCTTGATATAATATGGATCTGTTCCATCCGCTAAACCTGCTGTACTTCCGCGCATTATTGATATTATTAATAAGTTAATTTTTAATATTATTTAATTGATTTTATTTTGATATGTTTAGATTAAAGCACACGTTATTAGGTTTTATTTTATTATTGGGAATATCAAAGTTTCTTATGCGTTAATGTCGAAGCTTTCATTCTTAAATTAATCGAATCTTCAGGCTAGCACCTTCTCCGGGATATTTTGATGCTCATCATTAATTAAATTGACTTTATTCACTTTTATTCAATATCACAGGAGTTTATTTTTACTGCAAGGACATTCTTTAACATCGAAGCTTAGAGCACTAAGCGAAAATCCTTCAGACTTATTATAAGCATATATTGAATCCAAAATAGCACTAAATTTCAATTAAACTCTGTTCAAATTAAATTTATTACACAGAAATCCTTAAACGATGAGATTTATTGCAAAAAGCTTGTAACTTGCAAACTTTATATATTTTTACTAGCTTTGAATTATTTTTAAAATTTCAGATGTTTTTAAAACTTGAACTTTTAATAAAACTTCAAATTCAGCACCATATTTTGAGAAATTGAATCATAGCACCATAAAAAGTGATCCTTAAAGCAGCTTCGATTAATGTGCTCTTTTGATCAGTCATAAAATTTTATTATTGCTCATAAAATTCATTGTTACTTGATTTACGCTTATTCATTTTTTAAATTGTCGTAAATCTTTCTTTAAAGTTTTTTTTTTTAACAAAATTTTTATCTGCGAATTCTGAATTGATTTAGAGTCTAATTTATTTCTAGTTCAAGAATTTTATTTGATTGCTCAAGCTGCTCAAGCTTTTTCACTAATTTAATTAAAATTTGTAACAATATTTCTCAACAATCCAGAAACTCATTTAATACTGAAAAGCTTTACAACCCGAAAAGCACTTATGAACCAAAAATTAATCCTTAACTCAATTCACTAATTAACAACTTTTGTTTATCATTAATGCACAATATTTCCATTAATATCAATTTTCAGGCAATCATAATGATAATATTTGGCAATAAGTCGCTACACTATTATCTTATTTCTCTGTGTACCGATCACGAGTAAATTCAGTTATAGACTGTTATCACTTTAATGATATCATAAATTTTGTATGTACTTTTTAGTTTCACATATATTCACGTAATAATATTAATAATGATTTTATTGTATTTCTGATTCATGATTGTTATGTTCAGTTGTGTACATTTTCTTAGCGAAATTTAGATGTGATGTTAGTGCGTGAATTGGCATCATCACAGAGTTGGAAATTTTGATTTGATTTGTGATTCTTGTGAATGTTTGTAATTAGGGTTAAAAGGGGTCTGATTTTAGTTTCAAGAGTAAAATACAGAAAAGAGAAACTTATTAATCAGGTTTTGATTATTTGTGATTATTTCTAATCAAAAAGGTTTGGAACCTTTAACATAATCTTAAAGAATGGTCCGAAAACCTAGATAAAACTTTCAGATTTTGCATATTAAACAATTTTTAAAAATCATCTAATCAGTCTTAGAGCTATTCATAAATGATGTCCTGATTAGATTTTAGGATCTAAGGTTTATATTCATACATCGTTTTACAAGAAGGAAGTAGGATAGAAGGGAGACTCTTTTCAAAAGTTAAAATATCTTAAATGCGCTCTATTCCCCTCACCACACAAACTATCCAAAAAAGCATCCCATCTTTCTCTTTAATGTATCTGATTTTAAAGCTTTTATGAAAAAAACATTTGTTTGCCTGTGAATGACTCTAAAAGTTCTATTCTCTCATCACAAAATGCTCACATTGTGTCACGACAATACAAATGTATTGTTAAGCATAAAAGCTGAGAGCATAAAGTTTTTTTACATGTATATGCTGTCTATGTCGTGTATTTCGGACATTATCAAAAAATATTATCACAGTGAGAGAAATGGATTTGATGTAGTCGAATCATTTTACACTATTGATATGTTTGTGTTTCGAATGTTTAAATGCATTTATTTGTATATCTATATTTGTGTGCCTTAATCCGGTGTTTCGCAAATGTAAATTATTATTTTATAATTTTTTTTATTTTTGGCGCATTTTGTTGAGGTTTTCATTTTTTTGGATATTGGATTGTAAGAATTATTTGATAAGAATAAGTTATTAAAATCAAAAGATTTAGACATACGAGGATGTGGTTTTTTAATAGAAAACCTCATGACTGCACTGACTGCACTCGTGCCATGAACAAGCACAAAACAAGCGCGATTAAAATCGATTTTAAAATGTCTAGGGATTTCCCTGACGACCTTGAACCAATTACGACAAAATGCGCCACAAACAAACAGCAATAACAACCTTACTACTTTTATCTATTCACTAATTTTCGTTGCGATTATCATAAGTGAATTCACAATATTCCGTGCACAATGATATGTTTTGATATGTGTTTCAGCTTCATTTACTAGCTAGAATTAATTTTTTAAAATAATTAATGACTTTTTCTTTTCACGTTTCGAATTGCTACAATTAAATCTGACACTGAATTTAATCTGAAAGCCTTTTTGGACATGACATCACACTTTTATCTTATCAGCAATACTACTTCATTAAATTGTAACTCTTTTAACATGATGAACTATCACAGTTTTTGCAACTCTATCAATACGGGAACAGTTCAATAAAATTGCAATATATGATCTAAAAACAATTTCTTATCACTTTTGGGTTGATATGCACTGAATGACGATCCAATACTGAATCTTTTTTATACATTTGTTCAGAAACGAGAGAAATTCACTTTAAATCACAGTTTTAATATTGCTTGTGTATTATCTATCATGTAGGAACGTAGAGCACCATAGTTGGGGTAATTGAGCACTTTGAATGTACACACAGTACATTTATGACATTATGTTCCCTTTATTTTCATTATTATTGTATTGAATGTGCGCGCGATATGCTTTCACGTGACATGTGTCATAGCGACTGCAGTCAAAGCTTTAAACTGCAAACAAATAAACACGAAAATATAAAAAGTTTCGAGCTGAACTTGAACTAAAATAAAATTGAAAACTTTCGTGCACACAATAGATAGATGTTCAGCTCATTGAAGCTTTAGTAAGCAGTCTCGAGAATTCACGTCTGTTGTGTGGGTATTGAAAGCTCAAATAGCAAACTAAAAAGCATTTATTGAGCTTGATTTTAAAAACAGTTCTGCAAAAGAGGAAAGAGAAGAAAGAAAGCGGAGCAGTTGAGATTGTATGACGCAAGGAACAAAGAATTGCAGTGGATATATAAAAGAGAAATTTTGTGGAAAACATGATTCGTGGTGTTGGTTGGTTTTGAATCAAAAGAGAAAGAACTTTATTTTTGAGAAACGAAAGAACAAAGAGAAGCAAAATTGTACGGCTTGAACATAACCTTTTTTTGTGTTTTTGACAGGAGAGTTCAAAGGAATCCAAATCAGTTGCTGTATTTTTAATTTGAAAAAGTTTTTATTGCTGACATAAGCTTATTCGCTCAAATCTTTATATTTGTTTAAAATATCGCGCACATCCCCCCCCCCCCCTCCCTCCTCTTCTTAATTTTCTCTTCTACCTAAATTAAGATTTTAGTATTTTCAACTGCTCTAATCTACTTGCCCAAAGCAAGATACAAGAAAATATTCCAACCATATTCACATCCGCTCTTAACTTCTTCATGCTGTTTCTCCGTATTTTGAATATCAAATTTTATGCAACTTTTCTTTAAAGATCTCACCATAGTATCTGTATTTTACAACTCTTTGTTCACTTATGCAAAGAGCAGATGGAGCTTTATTTTACGATTTTTTTTTTAAAACAATGAAAGTTGCTACTAAGCAAAGCATGTGCGCTTCATTATCAAAATTTACATATCAGTGAGGAGAGGCAAGGTCTGCCTTCACTTCTGTATTATACTTGCTGCTTTATCGATTACAGATTCTCCTAGTGCATGCAACTGCATGCTAATCAAATTCCCATTTTTTATGATGCATGAAATGCACGTGCTGACTTCCTTTTTTCGTATTTTTAGACTTCCTTTTTGGAAAAGCGCAACTTTAAAAATTCGATCGATATTTTTTTCAGGCTTTATTTTGGTAGTGCCTTCGTACATAACAAAAAAGGGGAGGTTTTATTGAAATAATGTCTTGTGAAATGAAAGAGAAGATGACGATGACGATAATTAGAGATCTGCATAATAAAAGGCATTAAAATTCACGTCAGCTGGAGATAAATTTAATGTTACTGTTATTATCGTATTCAACAGGCTTTTTGGGGGTGTCGTGAGATAATTTATAGCTCGCTTTGATGATTGCTGGATGACAGAGTTAATTAACAAAGTTTTTAGCTGATTCTAATGAATGTTGTGGGTATGGCATTTAAGAAAGGCATGGAAAGAGGCTTGAGACTGAATATGAGATCTTTAATACTCATGTGGATCAATATGAGATGTAGGGCAACTTAGTATAAGACTTTTTGTCTCTTTATGTGAGAATTCTAGTTCTCGTGAAAAGTGAACCTATCCTTGATATCCCAATGTTTGCACCAGATTCAAACTGATGAGGTAGCTATGTGTGCCACTCTGTTACTTGATTTATCCATTCAATTGACTGCTATCATTGCTACCTGAAAAGCAGGGGTTACTTCATGACAGTCATCTTAATCCATAAATTAAGTGACAGAGCAATTTGAGATGCATACCCACTCGGAATAGCATTCTATTATAGATTCTGGATTATATAAAGTTTTTTAACTCCTACATCATGTAGCTTCAATTTAAAGAAATTCGCAAATCACTTTTAAACCTACAAACCGCTCAATACCTCAACCTACACTTTAAAATAATGATAAAATACTTTTCTACTTCTCCAGTTAAGCGTAGGATGTTTCAAGAAAAGATTAAGGCCTTTTGTGTATGCTTAGTAATCTGTTAAATTTCATTCAGCAATAATTTTTACAAGAACTGATTTGATTTCTTTTCCTCATTTTTACTTAAATCCACAATGACAATTTCCAGCAAAAAGGTTGAAAAAATTCTTCAAAACAACAAGTAATTTCACTTTGGATCTCCCACAAGGCTTAAAATATTTTTTTAGCAATTCAAATTCACAATTCTCATTTAAATTAATATTGAGGCAAGATAACACAAAACGATTCAATTATAAAATTTTATCTAATTTAAATAAGGAATTAACTTCTTAAAGGATTATCATCAGCTTTGTTCTTTAAAAGCCTTTCATAAAAAATTAATATTGAGGCTTTTCTTCCGACACTTTGATTTTTTTTTGTTTAACCGATTGGGAATTCGTTCATGCTTTTGGTTTTTTTTTTTGTGGATAAAAAGTATGGAAAATATTTTGTGGCAAAGAAGGAACATTTGAATTTTTTAATGGGTCGTTTGCTTAATTTTTTCGAGGTTCATAAGTTTATAGGGAGAGAGTTGAGGTTATAAAACATTTTAATTAAAAAATGTTTACAATCTGAGTCATAAGCGTCTCAATGACTCATCATCCAATAGGATACTTTGACTCCTGGATAATTTATGACAACGGAGATGTTACATAATACGTGAACGACCACCACAAAAAAAATGATTGCAATTTTTTCCACAGAACTGAGTTCTTTGGCTCTACAAACAATAATATTTGTACCATACTGAAAAATGTCTCAATATAAGAAAATGTCTATATACTCACGTCAATACGATATCGCTAAATGATGAGGAACAAGAAAATGAAAAGAAAAAAAATGAATACAGAAAATGATTAAATAAATAAAGAAAATCAAGTTAAATGTCATTTAAGATTGTGTATGGCGCATTTTTCTTGCAACAAAATTTATTATAATCAGTTTAACATTTCAGATTTTTCAAGTTTATTTAACTAAAGTTACGTTGTTTGCGAAAACTGAGCTATTGTGATAAGAAAGTTTGACTTATAATGAATCAAAATAAACAACACACGTAACTTAAGAGTAAGTTTATTAAAGAATTACGTATCTTGAAATTTATGACGGGAACATCAACAAATCATCTTATCACTTTTAGTTGCTATCTAGCAAAATTAGAAACAAAATCTTAAAAAAAATTATTAAAATTAGCTCCATTTTAACCTCAAACTAAGGAAACAGTAGATATGACAGGGATTCGAGAGATTTTTTGAGCTCCAGATCTTCAAATCAAAAGTTTACTAGCTTAGCCAAAGCACTCAGACTTATAAAGTTTTCAATATATTAGTAATATCTAACTTAATGACCACATTACAGCACCTCTAAGCAAGCTCCTTGTCTGTTAAGGTCCACGATGACTTTCAAATAAAATCCTCAAAATTTCCTTTGTTTTACTCAGTCATTAAGCCAAATATATTGCTCATAACTTTATATAATAATGCGCCAACACAAAAAAAAAATCAATATCATGTCTACATACCGTAGGAAAATTGAAAGCAAATTCCTTTGAGTCTGTTATGATCAATACTGGTGGTGCGACTAAGTTCCTTACAGAGCGCATCATTACAAGAGGAATAAAGCAAACAAGAGAAAGTAAGACAGCTGGTTCAGCTTCGGGACCTAAAAGAAGGAAAAACAAACCATAATGATGAATTTTCTTGGCATTGGCAATGACGGTAAATATTTATACATAAGAATGGATGGACAAACAGAACCGAGAAATATTTATTAAGTGTTATAATGGGAATTAAGCTATCACTTTTCTATAGACAGCTATTCTTTGCTGATTATAGACATTTTTGAGTGGGAGATAAGTTTAATAAAGTTCTTCGAGGTGATTGCTCTTTATTCTTTTAATTGTGTGATGAAAATACTTAGCAGATAGGGGAAAATCCAGTGGGGGGGATTTTTTATGAAAAATACTTAATGGGTTGCCGTACTGACTTTTTTAATGAGTAATTAAATTTCACAGCGTTCTAATGAGATTTTTTGATTTTTGCTATCTTAATAGCTTAGATGTGCTTTTTTGGGTCATAGATTTTTGATGAAGGCTTGAATTTTGAATCTGATATACACATCAATTAAAGGATAAGGTTTGAAAACATTTTTGTTTGCAGATCCCCAAATTCATACTTTTTTATTAATCAGGGGCAAGTATTTAGGGCCTACACTAGTCACAGTGAAGCTTTACAAATGTTGAAATTTTGTGTCTATGTTAAGATTTACCCAGAAACCCCTTGGAACCGACTTAAGACTTTTCTCAATTTCTATGCCTCAAAACCAGAGTTGCGAAACAGGTCACCTGTGACAGGTGAGAACCTTTCAATTCCTTGATAATTTGTATGGTTTTGTTAGAAAAACCTTATAAATTATCAAGAAATTGTAGGGTTCTCACCTGTCACAGGTGCCTGTTTCGCAGCTCTGCTCAAAACAAATAAAGCGTTCCAATTTTCTTCGAATGCTCACAGAATTCCAATAAAAACAAACAATTCGCAACCCTTACACACAGACAGTTCACGCCATGTCAACCCGTAAAATTAAAGTATCGTATCTAAATCAACAAAC